ATATGATCACTGGCAAATGTATATACTCCCAGTTCAATGGAGTTTTTACCTTTTATACATCAAATGTTTCAAATTTTTGCAGATTGCATTTTTAAAATTTTTGTCAAAAACAAAAGACTTTTTTTAAGTGAAAAAGGAATTGCATTTTCAATGTGATACTTTGTCTTGGTCGGAACATAAATATTCCTTGTTAATAAGATCATTTTGCCACTTCATTTTTTTTTTTCTCTCTCATAAAGGGTGCAAAGTAAATTGAAATGAGCCTTTTTGAAGGAACATGGTTAGGTCTTACAAAATGATGATTCATCTTTCCAGAAACTCCCACCTTTTCCGGGAAAATTTTCAAATGAAATGACGTCGCTCATCATTTCCCAAGAATGCACACCTGGATTTTTCAACCAGCCCCTTTCCAAATGCTATTGACGACCTGCAAATTGTTCTTTGGTCTGAAGAAATGACTATAAAAACGTAAATGACGTAAAAATGGCAGCTACAAGTACCCAAGTGGGAAGAGAAACTGCAAGTTTATTTATTAACATTAAAAAAATAATAATATCATTGGGCATATTCAGGCTAGAGAAAAGGTACAGTTGTTGAGTGGGATTAACCACTGTAACTGTGTCTTCCGGGAAAGGTAGATTCCTGATGACTTATTAAGTATTAAAGTCAAGTCTTGATGCTTCTCATAAAGTCTTTCTCGTATCTCAAAGAGAGGTTATGGTCTATATGCTCAGTTCAGTGAGTCAGGTCCTTCGACAGTTCCCCTGCCTCAGCTCAGGCTCTTTCTGGAGAGGGACCTGGATTCCTCTCCTTCTCCTATGTCCCCAGCACAGAGAAGTCTGCAAAAACCTCCCAGGTACCAAGCTGAGTGTGAGAGAAGAGGAGATAAAGGCAGATGAGAGGAGATATGCTGCAGATATATTTGGGTTCACAGGGGATTTTAGCTAAGGGATGACACGAGATGTGAGATTTTGAGATGTCATTTGATTTGTGGTTGGAAATGGAAAAATAGGGGCCAGCCTGCCTGGCACAGCCCTGAGAAGGTGGAATCGCCTCCAAAAAGGGTTCAGTCTTTCACATGGATGGACTCCTACAAATTTTCCTGTAGATCTGGTGACCTCTTATAGTGAATACAAGCCAACAGAGAGAGGACATGATCCTCTGAGTCAAGAACCCCACAGCAATGATCTCTGTTTCCTGTAAGGTACGCTGTCCACGGATGGAAAAACAGTGCTGTATAAGAAGGACTGCATAGTGTCTTAGGCACTAACTTTACATTTGGAAGATGCACATTAGGGATCTGAGAGGAAAGACTCACTGAACATATTCTTGCAGGATCCTCAAATTCCTGCACTTCCAATAGTAGCCCTTTTTGATTGACCTTTCTGAAAGGAATTGCCTTCTACAAAAGAAGATGCTTAGTGCTGTAAGTGACATCAGTGCAGAGATGTAATGGCTACATAAGTAGGGAATGCATATTGCTAGAAAAAAAGAATTCCAGTTCATAGAGAAGTGGGGTTTCCCACTGATTTTGTATTTGAATCCAACAGATCGACTGATAATTTTGATGCATTTTCTTTGCAAAGAGGAAGTGCAAGAGAAAGTCTCTTATAGATGGTTTGTGAAAGAACAAGTCACTTGCCAACATTTACCATTCACGGGTTGCTTATCTGTCCTTATTTCATGCCCAAAGCTCAGTGATCCAACTGTTGAACATTCATCTGAGAACCTGAGTTTGATATCTGCACTGAACTTGAAAATGTTTGGGTTAGGATTCACTGGACTGTCCTATTAAGATGATATTTCATTGAAAAAAATTTCAATTCTCAGCCCTCTATGTCCTAAATAAGTGACTATCAGTTAGCTCAGAAGTAACTAACATATAAATAAATCCTTAAGAGGTACATTCATCTTTATTGTAACTCCGCTGATTTTCCTGGCATTACTCATAAGATAAATTTAATTCCAAAGTATGTCTGCTGAATGGGTGGGTGGATGAACTGATTGGTGGAGTGGCTGAGGAAAGTTATCCAGATCTCCGTAGGTCTTTATGCAAGAGGCCTTTATGCCTTGATTGCATTCTCACTTATACTGGTCTGATGGAGAGGAGTGTCACCGAGTCAGATTTACACTCCAGTTACATGGGTGCAAGCAAGAGAAGGATTGGGCAAACTTTACCTAAAGCCCCAGTGGATTTGAGAGCCTACTCCAGAAGATTAGGTAGCTTTTCTTTCTATCATTAGCAACACAGTCCTGATTAACCCTCCGAGCTGTAGTCAGTCATTTTGAGGACAGTTTGACTGACAGCATGTAGCCCACACTTTTCCCTGCATTGTCCAGTGCATTAGATCCTGGAACTGGTTGGGTGGTTGGGTGGGTTTTTGTTTTTGTTTTGTTTGTTTTGTTGTTGTTTAATTTTATTGATTTATTTTTAACCTATTGGATATTCAATGAGAAAAGTCATCTTGAGCAAGCAGCATGAAGTATTTCAATGTAAGTATGTGTTGAGATTCCTCTGTTATGTATCTGTAAAAAGGTAGGTTTGGGCAATATGACTATTTTTGTTGCCTTGCCAGATATTCGGTAGAATTTCCTTCTCATTCTGAAACTTCAAATTGACAGTAAAACACTTCTTCCTATGGGAGCTGTTTATATTTCATGCAGGGCATTCATAGTAAGTTTTCTTCACAACACATAATGCTTCATAAGAGGCTGACAGACCATCTAGGCTTGGGTGGGTGACCAACTTGCTCAAAATTTAAGGGACAATATTTCTTTACATTAGTGAACCCTTAATCGCCTCATGAAATTATTCCCAAAGAAAATTAGCATTAGGAAAATATTTTATGATTTGTCCCTTTTTTTTTTTTTTTTCTCCCCATATTTCTTTCAATATAGTTCAGCAGCTTGAGAAAGTAGAATAAATCACTAGGAAATGGTTACATTTTTAGGAACACAGCCAGAGTTTTGTGGATCACCATTGGTCCGGGATCACAATTTGTCTGGATAATGGGTTTGTTTGGAAATGCTGCTGGTGTCTGAAAGCTCTAATGTGGGATTCATAGAGAAAAGTTAGAGCCAACTTTATGAAAGCTGTTGAAAAACAGAGAAATTAGATATTTCTTTTCTGGAAGATAGAGTGATGGATTGGCCTCTAACTGGGAAATAAATAACTGAATAATTGCTTGGTGAAATATGTACATGGAAAGAATAAATCATTGCTGAAATCTGTCAGTGTGTAAGGATATCAAAAACCAGAGATTTGTCAAAATAATAATATTTCAAATAGCACCTAATGTCTTTTCTCACCTAGCCCAGGTTAAATTTTCATCTATTGCAGAAATGAATGTGCTGTAGTATAAAGTGCACAAATGTTTCACTTGAGAGTAGCATAGTAAGAAAATGAGTTTGCTCTAAAAAGTGGTGAAAATCAGTGTTTACTTTTTTTTTTTTTTTTTTTTTTTTTTTTTTTTTAATGCTGAACCTCTGAAAATGAATAACAAAATTCCTATCAATTACAGTGCTAACAGAACTGGTCCTCCGATGAATAATTTGCCATTAGGATAACTATTGTATTGAAACTAGAACTTTATTTATCTGCTCAAAGTACTGTAACCCTGAAAAAAAAATAAAGGAAGCACATCATTAGAAATACACTTATGTATTTCTCACTTATGAACACTTTTTTTTGTGTGTGTGTGAGTTTTTTGAAGTTGCCCTAGAAAACTGCTATCAAATAAGAATACAATTTAGAAAGTAAACTGGGTGTAGGTGCAGACAGAAACCACCACCAAAGATAAGGTCTCTAAATGCTATTTTGAGACTCTCCACATAAGTTTGAGTAATTAAATCAAAGAGAACTGTAGAATCACTCTTCATGTTCATAAACTGTCATTCATCATATTCATTATGACTAATATTTTAGCAGTTGTAAATAGTGTTATTATTATTGTTATTATTTTCCCTGTCAAAAAGAAAGTATCTTATTTTCTGGCATGAAAAGGCATCTTCTTTTCTGGCATGGTAGTGTCATCCCATGTGTGATCTGAATTTTTTAGTGATTGACTTCTGAGACAATGCATTTGATAAGGGTAAGCAAGAAAGAGTAGAGTTCACTCTCTTTTCAGCATGTCTGCATCACAGCAAATACATTAAAAATAGTTGGTTTCCAAAAGGTGGATTTCAACCTCCAGACTCAAGCACTGAAGTCACCTTAGCTTTAAAAGTAGAGGACACCAGGAGCTCCCATAGAAATTGGACAGATTGTTCTCCTCATAGGTATGCTTATCATGGCGAATTCAAGTTTTCCCAAGACTTAGCAGAACCAAATTTGTAGATCTATTTGATGTCTTGAGATCTGTCATACCTTATTTGTTTATCGATCTTGTCTTAGCACACTATGGTATGGCCATGTGCAGCTGTTCTGAAAACAGGAAACTTTGGCTCTTGATACAATCATATGTATGCTACAATGTACAATCACTACATTAACAAATTCAGTATTTTTGTTGTTGTTGTCGCGTGCCAGTTCACAGGGTTAAAGGGTTGCATGGGAATTTCAGCTCTCTGTTTGTAAAAATAAGACCAAAGTAATCACTGTCTCTGACAGTTTCAGAGAAAACCTCAAAAGTATAAGCAAAACACAAAGCTCAAAAGAATAACATTACACAAATACCATTTTTTGTGGGTTTTGCTTGGGGTCTGACTCATGGCTTTTGTGCCTCAGGGCTACTAACACTGACTGAATTCTTATTGGAATCTGCAGGACAAGGATGGTTTAACTGCGAGGAGCAGGGTTATGGCTGCTCCTGCTGCTGTGTTTCCTCATATCTACCTCAAAACCCCATGTGTCAGAATCTGCTTTTCATGAACCAGAGATGGTAAAACAGTTGTGAGGAAAACAAACTTTTCTCCCATGCAAGTCAGGCATTGATTTTGCATGGCTCCAACAAACCCTAATCTAGTTTTGCTTCTCTTGCAGGTACTTTTAAGCAAGAGGGATGACTCAGGTGCCTGCTGACTACCAGTCCACCACCAGCTCCTACAACTATGATCAGCCCCTTCCCTCCGTGGCTCGGGCAAGCACTGTCACCCAGGTACCCCCGGCCAAAAAAATAACCTTCTTCAAGAGTGGGGATCCTCAGTTTGGGGGAGTGAAGATGGCCATCAACCAGCGAAGTTTCAAGAGCTTCAACGCACTCATGGATGACCTCTCTCATCGGGTCCCACTGCCGTTTGGGGTACGGACCATCACCACCCCACGAGGAATACATTGCATTAGTGAGCTGGACCAGCTGGAGGATGGAGGATGCTACCTGTGCTCTGACAAGAAATACGTCAAGCCTATTAGCATAACTTCTGCTGGACACAGGCCAGGCCCTCCTCGAAGTAGTCGTCCATCCAGTAGCTTGAGAAGAGCAGCTCAGGAGGGCAGGTTTGAAGATTATTCCACACCTTTCACTCAGCACGGCCCCAGAATACCCAAGAAAATCACTCTTGTTAAGAACGGAGAAACCAGTTTTCGGCGCTCAATTATCTTGAACCGCAGAAATGCTAGGAGTTTCAAAACGCTCCTCGATGAGATTTCAGAGATCTTGCAGTTCCCAGTGAAGAAGCTCTACACTGCTGATGGGAAGAAGGCAAGTGTCTCTGGTTCCTGGTGCTGCTCAGTTAATCTAACAGGTGTTATCACATCATCCTCTGTGATGCAAATCCTGTAGCTCTAAGGGCCAAAAATTTACCCACACAGTCTTGACCCTTTGGACTTGTGTAATTAGTTTCACATTAGTTAATTCTTCATGAGTTACGTGTAGGGATGATGTAGAACAACCCTGTCAGCCATTCAAGAACTTCATATATTAGATACTTATTTGGGTTAATGGGAGAGAACTTCTGACAGATGAAGAGGAGCTTAATGCTTTGCAGCTGGGTATAAAACCCTAAATAAACCTCTAGTAATTGAGTTTCCCACTTTCTTTCCAGGAAGCATGCCCCAACACCCACTTAAGTTTTCTGTACGTAACAACAAGAAATTCAGCAGAATAAGACAGCTCATAGGTTATGCCTCTTGGTTGCGTCGTTCCTAATGAACAGGATCCTGTTATGATGTGGGTTCCTCAGCATTATGAAAATGTAATTAATAAATGCATATATGATTAGTGTATGAGTGGGATCAGGAGACACATTTTTGTTGATGATTTGGTGAATGTGCTAATTGGGGTGGACTCATAGTAAATACAGGGCAGGTACAGCTCTATTGTTCTGTTCCCAGAGGAATTTTGTGACAAACCTGAGATTCTCCTAAATTCTTCTTCATCTCTTTGTAATGTAGAGTAACCTGTGCTTCTTCTGAAGAGGTGTCATGTTAGCTTGATTCACTTTTCAGCCAAGCGGAGCAGTCACCCCACTCCTTGCCACATTTTCCACCTTTACAGTACAGTGTGCCACGTCCACAGTGGTAATGTTAAATCCTCCTGTGGTGTCACTTTCTGAACCCTACTGAAATGAACTTTCTGAATCCACTAAAATGATTTGGGTTAAAATGTCACATTACTCAGGAAGGGAAAAATTGGAGGAACATTTTTAATATACATCATATTGATTTGGCATAGGGACAGGACCTTAAGCTGGCAACATGTCATATCCCAATACTTTCTGCTGTGCCTACTACTTTGGGAAAAGCTCTCTGTTCTCACCTGGAGAACCCAATGAATCAGTTAGGTTCTTGTTTTCTAGCTTTCATCAATTTATTTGCAAAGTGAAGTCCTAGAAATTCTGCTACATTCCACAGCTACAACTATAGTGCTATATATATAGTAATATATATATTACTAAAAAAAAAAAAAAATGTGTCAGAGCAGCATCTCATCCATCTATTCTCCATTCTGCTAAATTCTTAACAACCTCCCTGGTTCAGAATTGGCCCAGAATAACAGTCTCCCAGATAATTCCCAAGAATGGTTTAAGAGTTAGGGCCTGGGATCATTAATTGTAGGAAGTTTGGATGTGGCCAGCCTGTGTTAAAGCTTCCAGACTGCTTCAGTTGGTCTTTATGCTGAAGAACAGGGTCTGGCACTGCTTGCTTTACTACTACAAGTGAGAATTAAGGAAAAAAGAAAAAAAAAAAAAAGCAACAAAATCACCCTGCTACCAAGATTTGTTATAATCAAGGGATAAGCATTCTATTTTGTCAGTGATTTCTCCAGTTTTCAAGATTTGGGATTCTGTTCAGTCTGTGTGAAGATAACTACCTTGCTTAGTGGTAGTAACTTTCTCTTCTTCGATTTTTAAGATTTTTCACCCATTTTTCTAAAGAAAAATTTTGCCTCCTACTTCCTAGTGCAGTTTTAATATTCTCCTTGTGATACTCAAGTGAATTTGCAAAAGTTTTCTCTCTAGTCATTATAAATTCTCTTTCTCCTGTTCATTTTAAACAATAATATTTTAGCTAGGCTATATAATAAATTCCCTCTCTGTAAACACACTATCTTCACTGTTGTTCTACCTCCATCTTCACTGTAACCTAAAGGCATTGTACATGCTAAAATCTTTGCTGACAGTTTAGGTGACAATCTGTGTCGTTCTCTTCAGGAGACAATGGGTCAACAACTTTGTCACTTGTTTTGAATTCTTCTCATCCCCACTGCCATCTGGACCTTTGTTCATGGAAATGTCCCAAGCCGCATGTGAATGTCAATTGGAAAGACACCGATGCTCTTTGTAGCAGCTAGATTATTTTCTCTGGTGTACCAAAGAGTTTAAGATTATCCTTTATATAGTGATAAGGTTCTTTTCAAGAATAAATCCCAGGGTTCCCCTAGAGACCTACCTGCACCAAATCCCCCCCGGTCAGCCCCTTCTCTTCTCCCCCAAGTTTTTCATCTTGAGAAATGTGGTGGGGTTCAAGCACCACCACATAATCTAGCCACATTCCCATGAGATTTATTTTGCAGATATGAAAATTTTCATAACCCTCTTGTTGATACTCAAGAAGTTCATTTTCAGTACCTTATTAATTTCATTTGCACCGCTTTTATTCCTGTGCAGAATATCTCCACAATAGGTGACTGTCAATGTTGTCAGCTAATTAATAGCTAGGAAATGTGACTTCTAGTATCTTTACTGGGAAAAGATACTAGTTTTAAAGATACCTTACTTTTAAAGTGTTGATGTCATTATTATTATTATTATTATTATTATTATCATTATCATTATCATTATCATTATCATTAATTTATTTATTTATTTATTGGCCATTCTTAATCACTTCTTGATTTTACCTGTTCTTTACTGTTTATTCAGTGGTCATTCCTGTTAGGACTTCTCAGACCTTGTACCCTAGTCTTGGGTGCAAAACATTTCAAGATACAAAAAAGTCGCTAAACAGAAAAGCTATTTCTGCTTTTCTGTTTAAGTTTTCTTACCATGCCTCATCTTCAAGACCTCTGTTCCCTATACTTGTGTCCCAGAGTTTTCATTAGATACTAATGGCTTCTTTGAGAAGTGAAAATGGTGAATTTATCGCACTTTGGGGATTTCCTGAAATGATCTCCCTTCACTGGTGCTTAAGATTAATTCCTACTATAAATGTTACCTTTATTGTTACCTTTATGCTTCTGTTTTTATTTTCAGTTAGTGTCAATGAAATCATGCCTCTATTGTTCCATGCCTATTCAAAGATGTCTAGATGTTTCGTATTTCTTGGGTAGTTCCTTATTTCTGCTACTATTTTCCTTATTTCTGCTACTATTTGCCCTTCAAATAATTATTATTATTACTATTATTTTTAATACGTATGCATATATTTATGTGTTTTTCCTATGTAAATTGTTGCAAGCCTTATTGCAAAGACCACTATTTCCTGGAAAGGAGACAGGGGAGAAGAGTAACATTCATCTTTCATTTCCATGATATGACAGATGAGCTGAATAACAGAGAGATTTATTCCCTAGCAATGTATCTGGACTACTTAATTCTGGCTTAGAATAATGTAATTCACAGCATTTAATAGGAGATTCACAGTGTCATTTTTGCTGCCACTTTTTCCTTAATGTCTTGAAAACTGAACATAAAAAAAGGAAAATCTTCTCTCCTGCAGATAAATCAATCCCTTCTTCCATCAATGAAGGTGTTGTTCATAAACCTGCAAGTGTTGCCCCTTCAATCTGCTTTTGTTTTCTTCTACTACTATAACTCCAGACCTAAACTTCAATCTTAAAATAAGTTAAATCAACTCGGAAAGAAAATGTATGATTAACATATATTATCCCAGTGCTGCTGTTTTAATTTCTTTACCATCTTGTTGACTAAACCCAGAACACTTCAAAACTACATATTTTGGTTTCCCATTATACATTTATGTGGGTATAAACTGAAAAAAAAAGGAAGAATCTTGTTGTTATGCGTTCCTTTCATGCAATATTGATTTGAAAAAGCAGAGAAGAAAGCATTTTCTTCCTTTTGTAGCCCACCTAGTCCACAAATGTTTACAGTAAAACTTTAAGTTGAATTCTGTCATAACTCACAGTGAAATATACCTTTCAGAGAGCAAATCTTTTTTTACATGAAGCCAATGAGCTGAATATTTTTTTATTTTTTTTCCATTGAACAAAGTCAGAAGAAGGATTGGCTATGCAGAATCCTAATACACAGTATGGCTAAAGGTGTTGTAGCTTCAAGATCCATTGGAGGCCAGCAAAGATCTTACTTTTATGATCACATTTATTTTGCTGTTATTTTTTCCTATATTGCTTCAATTTGTTTGCTTATTTACCTCTCACATTTTCAAAATAGCACTTTATGGTCTTTATGGGAAAGGTCAGAACCTTTGCTTCTTGTTTCTTCTATGGCCTCGATTAAGGGGCCTGGATTGCTCTTACGTCTGAGAGTCTTTCATTGCTATGGATTCAGAATTAGCCTTTATAGTTATACGAAACTCAGGTCAGTAGAAATATTAATTGAAAGATGCTTATTCCAACCTTGGCATAATTCCAGAGTGGTTCTATTAGAATTTGCACATTTAAATTTTTACTCTATAAAATTATAAATAATAAATATTATAAAAATATAATTTTTTATAAAAATTTATAAAATTATAAAATCTAGTAAATTTTTACTCCAGAAACTTTGATTGAGGTGAAACCAATGTTTTGTACAGCAACAGTAGACTGGATTTTGTGCCAGTGTAAGGGGAAATACTCCTAAGCATCAATTGCTTTTAGTTTAGAAAAAAAAAAAAAAAAAAAAAGGAAGTTAAATTTTCAGCAAGTGTAAGTCCTTCCAGGTCAAGGTTCTAGTTGTTGGTTTCCAGGTGACTAACTCGATGAGCATTGCTCTTAGTACCCAAATAGAGAAATCTGTTGATTAGGTTAACATTGATTTGCCATTAACTTGACAGTGAATCATCTGTGTGCAAGTAAGTTTGTGTACTAAAAAATAGATAGACTTGGATCTTTCATCTAAATCTGATCAGCTTATTAGGAGGTAATTGCCTCATTTTGTTAACTATAGAGGAAGATGAGAATACTGTCTCAGACTAGTTGCATAAAATCAGGAGAAATTAACCCAGACCCAATTATTCATAAACTTGTTTTAAAGTACTTTATATGTTTAAATATTAGTAAACACAAGACATGCAACT